TAAAAATAAAACTCCTATTGCAATTTTCATGCGATTTAATGGTGGTCACGTTATTTATTAGACAGTAATGGAATGCATGTTGATTATGAATTCGATTCTCTCAAGAAATAAATACTAACTAACTTAATCTAATTTTTTTTTATAAAAAAAACTCCTATTACCTAAAATAATTATTTATTTTTAACTTTATTTTTTTATTAATTAAGAATTTAATAATAATTTTTGTGTTTATTTATATACTTTAAAAAAGATGATAAAAAATAAAGAAATATTTTTGGTAATAAAATGATTAATTAAAATAAATAATTAATAATAAAATTAAAGAAAAAAATATTTTTCTACTTAAAAAATGACAATTAATTTGAGATTCAAAGTTATAAAATAAAACAATTGTTTCAGGACTGATGGAATAATTCTTCAAATCTGATGCAGGGATAGGTTGGTGCTTGTAAAAGAAAACAATTTATAGATAATTTTTGTATATAATTTTATACATTATTTAATTACTGATTTTGTTTGTTATATTAAGATTAATATTATATATTAATTTATTTAATTAATTTTTTGGTAGCTAATTTATTTAATTTATTTGATTAGAGAGAATTGAGATAAATTTTGCACTTTTGAGTAATAAAAATTTTCTCATATTCTCGCGAAATAAAGAGAATCAGTCAAAACGTTTGCAACAATGTTTGAAACGTAAAATTTGAAACCTATTTTACGCATCTGGAATTCTCTCGCTTTCAACGCTTTTTGTATAATTTTCTGATATTCTTGGGGGCCATTAGTATGAGGGAAGACCAACCAAACAACTTAAAATGGTGTGAGGCCCCAACAAATGTACTACGGAATATAGCAGGTAAAATTCAATAGATAGTGAGTAATTAGTAGTAAATAATAGATAATAATAATGGATAATAGATGGTAGTTAGCATAACATGAAAAGTGAATAGTAAATTATAAATAGTGAATTCAATTAATACAATTAAGTGTTTAATTATATAATAATTAGTCGTTGTTGTTTAAAATTAAATAACTAATAAAAATATATTTTAAAATAATTAAGTGTATTTATTAAAATTATTAACTTTATAATATTAACTTTATAAAAATAATAATAACAAATAAATAAATTATAATAATCTAATCATACACTAATTTTTATTTTTAATAAAAAATTATATTAGTTT